CTTTCCCTTAAATTTATTTTAGTCTTGAATTTAAAACCTGACTTTTTTTTTGGTTAGTCTTGGGTTTTTTTAGTGAGTTCATATAAAGCTATGGATTTTCCTTTGTGTTCTGCTTTGGCTGCACTATTGTTTTGTATTTTGAATATTTCATGTTTTGTTGTCTTTTTAATTCAAAGGTTATGTAGGAAGTCCACTTTGTAAATTTTTGTCATACTTTCTTTGTTGCATTGGATTAGTTTTTTCCTCAAATATTTGGTAATTATTGGTTCTCTGCACCCCTTCTTTGTATTTAGACTTTCCTGTTACAGCATTCAGGGATGAGGCAGAGGTACCCAAGAACTGGTTGAGGTATGGAGATTCCCTCCACTCTTTAAGATGTTTACCAACCCATCCAATACCTAGGCCAGTTTTTAAATCCCAGCCGCCGCCTCCCCCCCTGCCCCCGCCCCATGCTCCCTGCTCCTGTTAAGAGTAGATGGTGCTGCTGCTGTTGGTAGTTGATGGGCACCAGGGTGGGGTGTATGCGTGCTTGTGTGTGGGTGTGTTTAGTTGCTGGGCACCGGGGGGGGGGGGGGGGGCGGGGTGTGTGTGTTGGGGGCGGATCTCAAAGTTAAACCCACCTGGCTGCTCTTGCTGTGGAGTCCTCTAGTCTTTGGTCCAGAGCGCCCTCCTGTTCTCAATTTTGGTGAGCCAACTTGCTTTTTTCTGGGAGTCCTTCTCTGATGAAATCCTTTCCTTCCTCTTCCTGTTAGAGACAGTTAATTCTTTCCCTTTGTTTATATGTCTGTCGCTTGTAACTGGACTCTTGGAGAACAGGAACAGATACCTATTCCATGTAAATTTTTGTCACCTGAAGTAACACACAATGCTTGCGTGATGCCCTGCAGAGAAGGGGAGTTTTGATTGCAAAAGATAATAGCTTGAGGCTCCCAGGGAGAGCAGACTAGGTAAGGTGCCACATGCAGAGGTACTGGTCTGGGTGTTTCTCTTATTGGTAGGTTAATCTTAGGCAAGTTATTTAATCTTGTTTAGTATTTTTTATACTACCATATTTTTTTATAAATATATAAAATTTGAGTGTATGTGTATATACACACATGTATTTTTAATTATAGAAATAGTTCAAAGGCAAAAAGAACAGGGCAGCACAGGATGAGATGGGTTAGATAGCATCACTGACTCAGTGAACATGAATTTGAGACACCTCCAGGAGATAGTGGAAGAGCCTGGTGTGCTGCAGTCCACGGTGTCAACAAAGAGTCTGACCGGAGTTAGCGACTAAACAACAGCAATGTGCTAATTAGTTTAAGAAAATTCTTTCAGTTAGGAACAAATGATTTTTAAACAAGTGGTCCTGGGACAGCAGGAAATCGATACGCAAAACAATGTAATTGAATTCTTTCTTTGCTGTTATTCAGTTGCACTGGTTTTGGAGCCCAAGAAAAGAAAATCTGTCACGGCTTCCACTGTGCCCCCCCGCCCCCCCCCAAGCCTATTTTATTTGCCATGAAATGGAAATGATAAGACCAGATGCCATGAACTTAGTTTTTTGAATGTTGAGTTTTAAGCCAGCTTTTTCACTCTCGTCTTTCATTCTTATCAATAAGCTCTTCCATTCCTCTTCACTTCCTGCTCTTAGAGTGGTAATGTCTGAGATTGTTGATATTGTCTCCTGGCAATCTTGATTCCAGCTTGTGCTTCTTCCAGCCTGGCATTTTGCATGGTGTACTCTTCATATAAGTTAAATAAACAGAGTGACAGTATTCAGCTTAGATGTACTCCTTGATGTACTTCCCAATTTGGAACCAGTCTGCAGTCTGTTGTTCCACATCCAGTTCTAACTGTTGCTTCTTGACCTGCACACAGGTTTCTCAGGAAGCAGCTAAGGTGGTCTGGTATTATCATCTCTTTAAGAATTTTCCACAGTTTGTTGTGATCCACACAGTCAAAGGCTTTAGCATAGTCAATGAAGCAGAAACCCATGTTTTTGTGGAATTCTCTTGCTTTTTCTATGATCCAGCGGATATTGGCAATTTGATCTCTGGTTCCTCTGCCTTTTCTAAATCCAGCTTGAACATCTGAAAGTTCTCGGTTCCAGCTTGTACATCTGGAAGTTCTTTGTTTTCCCTTCTTCATACCATGTACAGAAATTAACACACAGTGGGTCAAAGATCCAAACTTGAGCTAAAACTAACAATTCTTAGAAGAAAACATAGCTACAGGTCTTCTTAACTTTGGCTTAGGCAATGGTATCTTAGATATAATACCAAAAACCAAGCAACCAAGGAGAAAAGTAAATTGGACTTCCTTGTAATTAAGAACTTTTCTGCTTTAAGGGACACTGTCATGAAAGTGAACAGACAACCCACAGAATGGGGGGAAATAGTTGTACATCGTGTATATGACAAAAGACTCAATGTCTGTAATGTATGAAGAATTGTTAGAACTTTCATAAAAAGGCAATTCAGTATAAAAATGGACCAATGATCTGAATAGATAGTTCTCCAAAGAAGACACAAATGACCAATAAGCTCATGAAAAGATGCTCAACATCATTAGTCATTAGGGAAATGCAAGTTAACCCACTAGGAAGTATTGATAAGGATGTGAAGAAATTGGAATCCTGCCAGTGGGAATGTAGGATGTTAGAGCTGCTTTGGAAGACTGTCTAGCACTTAACTCAAAATACTAACCAGGGTTACCATATGACCAAGCACTCATAGTGAATGAAATGTGAATTATACCTCAATAAATAGCTCCTTATAAAAATTTACACTTACAAAGGACTTTAAATTTGTACTTGTCCATATACTTGATTTTTTAAAAAAGTTATACCTGCCTTTGCTTTAAAAAAGGTTTTTTAAAACTGTAAGCAGGTTGCTAATTTATTTACCCAGGGTAAGTTATTTCTTATCGAAATTCTTTGGAAATAAAACACAGTCTTTCTGGTATCTAGATAACTAGGAAGTTTGAGCAAGAAGTAGGGAGTCAGATCACACAGTCTCAAAGTGTGTTGAGCAAGAAGTAGACAGTCAGATCATACAAAGTGTGTTGAACGAGTGTGGATTGTCCAGGCCTTGAAGCCTAATGACTTCCTTTGCTCACACTAACCAGCACTGAGGCAGATGTGGCACATTTATTAGGTCCTCTCTGCCCTACCTGTAACTGACCTGTAATGACCTAGTCTCTGTGACCCCATGGAGGGCTGTTCTGTCCATGGAGTTCTCCAGGCAAGAATACTGGAGTGGGCAGCCATTCCCTTCTCTAGGGGATCTTTCCCGTCCCAGGGGTCAAACCCAGGTCTCCTGCATTGCAGGCAGATTCTTTACCATCTGAGCCACCAGGGAAGCCCTCAGAACTAAAGATTAACTGTGTGTTTGCTATGTGCTCATTTGCTTGTTGCTTTTATAAATTTCATTTATATTATTTTTCCTGGAAATTGGAAATCAAAATTGAAAATGGCGTGATAAGAATACTTTTAGATGACTTTAAAGCACTGCTAAATAACTAAACTCTTAGCACTTCTGTGTTAAATTTTTCCAGTTTAGTATTGACTTCATCAGTTGACAAACTCCTGTGGCCTCAGACTGTCTGTTTTTGTTAAGTGACATTTTGTTGGAACACAGCCCCCACTCATTACATTTATGTATTTGTGCTCTGGCCTGCTGTGTAGAGGAATTTATCTGTTAGTTCCTACAAAGAGACATATCTGAAAGAATGGTTTTTCTCCTGTATCTCATTAAACCAGCTTTTGGGCTTTACCTCTTTCATTTTCCCTTACAGTAAACTGATCACTTCTTTGAGGTTGGTCTTCCTTTGTTTTTCTGCAGCAGGATTGCTCTGTGTGGTAGGGAAGTGCTGCTGTCTGGAGGTGAACATACTGTGCTCCTTTCTTCCTTCTGTCCTTTCGCTCCCTATTTTGGCCTCCTGGTAATTGGGGCAGTGGGAAGATGGGGAATGCCAGTCTGAATTAATATGAAATTGCTTTAACTGTTTTCCCATAACAGTTTTCTGGCCTACAGGTAACAAATGAAAGTTATCTAGCTTTTGCCACAATCTGGGGTCACAGGGTCTTTTGAACATCACAAGAATATTGTGCAGCCACAGTGTTCTTTACTGTTGCCATACCTGGGAATTAATTGAATATTTTTTGATCCGTTTTTAAATGTTTAAATGTAAATGTGTGACGTTAACAATGTATTGTAGCATATAATCTTGATGGTGACCACTTATGATGTTAGATCTTTGAATATAGACATTTGAGAAGAATAATTCTAGATGTTCACAAAAGAAATCACTGGCTTGGGATAGATTTTAGTGTTTCCAGATTGTGAAGAAAAAAAGGTTAGGCCCTTTATGTTGAAATTTGTGTGTGCCAGCTCTTGCTTCGTGCTCAGCAGTGGAGTTGTCAAGTCCCACTGGTCAGAGTGCCTGTTCTGGTCTTGTCCTCTCTGCACATTTTTTGCATGAGGCTTCCACTCAGCCAGCATTTCCTAAACTATTCATTGATAGCCATCTTCATGACTTGCCTTCTCTGCATGCTTAACTCAAATTTATGCAGATAATTACTATGAAATACAGGGTTGATACGCTCATTCTTTTGTTTGTCACATACTCATAAAGGGAGTTTATCCAACCTAAAATCATCTTCTGTCTTTCTAGAGGGCATCAAATTCATTTTGGGAAACACTGCCTCATGTGCTGGGATTTTCAAGCTCTGATCTTGAATCAGTATGATCTGTGGAAGCTGCTTATATTTGGAAGTATCAGAGGAGAGGAGGGGATCACAGGATGGGTGGGTGCTGCCTGCTGAAATACCCCTTGCTTGGGCAAATTCATAATGTTTGGAATATGAAGATACTTGGCTGTGTGCATGGCAAAGCTTGGAATCCTAGCCTTGCGATGGTTGGTTTGTTTTTTCACCTTGGCCTCATTACACACAGGCAAACACACACAATGTGTATATCTTCAAGTTTTATGAGTTTTGTTTTCTTTTACAGGTTTGATCTTGCTCTTCTACTTAGTCTTTTATGGGTTCCTGGCTGCACTCTTTTCATTCACAATGTGGGCCATGCTTCAGACTCTGAATGATGATGTTCCAAAATATCGTGACCAGATTCCTAGTCCAGGTAATTATGTTGTGATTATTATGGCTTCTAACAAAATTGGATTATATTTTATCTTCTCTGGAAGTCTATATTATACAGCAGGTAGGAGATGTTAAATTTCAGAGTCAAATAATGTGAAAGTTTTAATTTTGTTTAATATTTACATGCTGATATTAAGACCTTTAATATTTACATGCTGATATAAAGACCTTTAATATTTACACAGTGATACAAAAACTTGGCTGATAAATCTTGAGTCTTTTGCCAAGGGTAAGCAGAAATAAATATTGAGAGTTAAAGTAAAACCATATTGATGAATACAGTTATGAGTGATGTTTATGAGTATTGAGTAGCAGTTTCAGTTTGTCCTGAGTAATTTACTTATATGTATTTCAGCTGTAGCGTGGGTTAAAGCATTGGTCTTATAAAATACATGCTTTATGGTTTTAACTGCTTAGTATGGAAAATTATAAGAAGTATTAAATTATCTATTAATAGAGAATAAAATGAGTGTGCACTTAATATGTTTATTCTCTGTTGATTGTCTTATGGGAAAAAAAATTCCTCTATTTTTGTACTTTAGAAAGTACTTTAGTACAGAAAAAGATCTTGACTAGAACACTTACTTAAATTACATTTTCTCCCTCCCGTATTTATTCCTTTTAAAGTTTGTTTTTGAATGCCAGCTCCGCCTTCACTGTTGCGTATGGGCCTTGTCCTCACGCTGCTGGCAGTTTTTGTGGAAGTAGGTAACAATAAGGCACAGAGCTCCAGTATAGGTGATTCCCACAAATATGAACAATTTCCTGAGGTTGTAGCAAAGGGATGGCTCTCCGTGGAGGAGCACAGTTTGGCAGCAGGCAAAGTGGGCGCACAAGTCAGGGAAGGCGGGAACCTGCAGGAGGTTTCTGTCCCTCACTGTTTCTGTTCCGGCTGTGATTCGCCCCCCAGGGCCATTCTGGGGATATTTTTGGTTGTCACAACTGCAGGCTGAACATCCCTGCAATGCATGAGAAAACCCCCACAAGAAAGACTCATCCAGTCCAGAAAGTCACTAGGACCACGGCTGAGGAAGTCTAGTCTAGATCCTTGCTCGCTGCATGGGCTTCTCAGCCATAGCAGCAGCGAGAATCAGCCAGTTTGTTCTGACGGCTTTTTTCCTTTGTCTGTAGCTGATTTTTATCAAAATACCATGAATAACTCCATTAGTCTTTATGACCATGTATCTAGAAACAGCTTTATGCTGATTTTTTTTCCTCATCTCTCATTGTAGCCCTGTTTTCTTTCTCCCTACATGAATTCTAAGATAATTATTTCTCTTGCTGCCTTAGTATTGATCATAAGCTGATATATTTCAGAAATATTGAATCATTTATAATTGCATGGATAATATAAGCAGTAAAGTGTGTTCAGTATACGTTTACATATATAGTTTTAAACTGAGTTCCTTAAATATTCAGAAAACGTGAAATGAATCAGAAGTTTATAGTTTTGCCATGGGATTTTAAATTATGTTATTTCACAGGATGCAAAGATAAGTGCAGCACGTTAATACAACCATGCTGTGGGTGTGTTGTTGTTGTTCAGTCGTTAAGTTGTGTCCTGCTCTTTACGACCCTGTGGACTGCAGCACACCAGGCTTCTGGCTGTGGGCATAACCCCCAGAATACCTGATCCCTGAAGCCCTGATTTATGTTTAAGTGTGCGTAGTTAGCTCCCAAAGAGAAGCTAAAGTTGTGATCATCTAAATCCAAGTGATCTGATATGTTGAAGTAGTAACTGAATGCACAGTCTAATTGGAACTTTTTTGTGTACATATGGAATAAGACTTGCTCTGCCTTTTTGAAACATTGATTGTTTCTTCATTGGCTAGCATCAGATTGAGTTTAACTCAAGACCCTTGCAAATCAACACAGGCAAGCATTTAGGATTTGAAAGACATAGATTTGATCTAATATGAATTGGATGTCTGAGAAATTTTAATGAAAACTAAAATAGCCTTGGTTTTTGTTTATCTTCAGATTTAACATAAGACTTTTATGTATAGTAACTGATGTATGGGGAATGTTTAGTGACTAGTGAAAATTTTAGGGTTTTTTTATTTTAAGCCTTTTGTGAAAGACTTAAAGTAGATCTAATGCTTTTAAATCGAGGAAAGCTTAAAGTTGGAAGCCTGATTGTGTTTGTTGCAGATAAACATGCTTACATTTTCTGTTAATAAACTCACGCAGACATATTCTAGAGACACAGTTGTTGATTGCTGATACAAAATTGTTGGTGGTTATATGCCAATTCAGTATGAGAGAACTACATTTTAGTTACAGAGCAGTGTTTATTATTGAAAGAAGAATATTGAACTATAGATTTTAAATTGTATAGTCCTCTTTCGTTGAATAAGGTTCGCTTTCTTTATGAATGTTTCCATAGAGCTGTGATTTCAGTGACAAAAGTGCTTAGACTTTGATCTGCTAAAATTTTCTCCATATATTAATGACAAATTGGCAAACCCTAAAAACACCGAGTAGAAAATGAATGTAGAAAGTACAGAGTAAAACTTGTGTCTTTTCACTAAGGACCAGAGCAATTCTAAGATTCAGAGGTGGTTTCTAATTGGTATTGTCTGAAGTGACGTTGAAGACTTTGGGATTCTTTCTTTTTAGATGTCTTTTTGTAGTCAGACATAAGTGGGGAGTTCTTGGTGGTTCTCTCAATCTACCTGTGAACACAATGTCCACATAATTTATTGAGACCTTCCTTTTTAGAGATAAGAATGTAAGGAGAAGGAAAGAGAGAAGGGAATTTGCTACAGTTAATTTTCCCCGTTTTCTCTTATCTCTATAGGACTTATGGTTTTTCCAAAACCAGTGTCTGCGTTGGATTTTTCGTTCAGCCTGTCTGATTCAGAATCCTATCAAGGGTACATTGATGACCTTAAGAAATTTCTAAAGCGTAAGTATGATTTTTTAGAGTAAGGTAAAAGATTTTAGTTGTTACAGAAACTAGTACCAAATTATGATTACTTTTAAAAACATTGTTCTTAGAGTTCTGCCTTTTTCTCTCTTTCTGCTAAAGAGAGGACTGGGCAAGTAGAATTATGATTATTCATGAGGAATTTATGATTATTTTATATTCTAACTTCTGGAAAGCATGGAGATCTAAACCTAATGGGTAGTTGATTTTATTTATTTTTTTAAATCTACCCTATATAATAAGTACATGAGTAAGTCCATTGAGGCATAACATTTATACCTGCATTAAATCAAATAGCATTTGACTAAAGAGCAAAGCTATATTATAAATCTTGTCTTAAGTATTTGGGTCTTTGGAGCCAAAGTAGTGCTTGTGTGAGGACGAGGAATGGTGTTTTATCACTAAAAAAAGTCTTACCAGTTGTGAGTTTTTCGAAGCTACTGATTTGTAAAGCTTTCGAATAGCCCAGTTTTCTCCGCATTTTGCTTTCCCTAACTCTGTGGTATTAGCATTTGAATGAATAGGCAGCTCTTCCTCAGCCACTCTCCCCTGCGTTTGCTCCTTAGAACGTGTAGGACTCCATTGCCAAGATTACTGATGAAGCTCCCTATATCACCTTCTCCTTTGCTGGTGTAACTTGCCCTATTTGTCTGCCTCTTGGGACTTCCAGTTCACCGACCCCTTTTATTTTATTCCAGCCTCTCCACTCTCAGCTTCTCTGCTGGTCAAGCTTATCAGTTCCATAGTTTTTCATTTCAATTTTATAGAAGCTAGTACTCTAAAATCCTCTGCCTCTTAGTCCATTTGCAAGTCGAAGAAGCCGTGTAATTCCTAGATGGAGCCCTTCCTTTCAGCCTGCCCTCTGAGGACTAAGTAACACTGAATATTTGATCACCTCCCTCAAATGGCCCCAGTCTACTGCCTGGAAGACCTGCTGAAATTCTCTGAAGGAATTATTTCCAACCTCTACTCAAAACTAGCTCCTTACCTCCCCCACCCTTTAACTCACTTTCTTCATATAATCTGGTTTCCTGATTCAAGAGAAAATAGAAATACTCAAGAGGAAACTCGCCAGGTTTCTGCAGCTGTGATACTCCTCTTGCTCTGGCAAGGGAAGCTGCCCTTCCTCTTATCTGTGTCCACCTGTCCACTCTCCCTGCTCAGAAACATTGTGCTAATTACTGATCTTTCTCGTATACATTTAGCTTCTCTGTTGGATTCCTTCAGTCAACATGCAAAATCCTCAGCTCCCATCTTAAAAACCTTTTGAATCCTGTACCTTCTAATAGCTACCTTCCTAAATCTCTTTTCTTTGATAGTTAAATATATACTTATTATTTAAATAGAGATGTTTTGTGAAAGTATAATTCATGGTTTAAAAAACAAATAGTAAAGAAAGCCCTATAATTAGAACAGTAGCTCCCTGCCCTACTCCGTTCTAGCTGCAGTCCTGTTTGTTGCTTTATTCAACAGAATGTGCTTTTTTTTGTGTATGTTAAGCACTCTAATTTCCATCAGTGAACAAATGAAAATTTTCTGAGTTCCTGGAGTTTTTTATGACCTAGTGGTATGTTAGAAAGTAATAAGTGCTGTAAGGGAAAATAAGGCAAAGAAAGGAAATAGAGTTAAGAGAATCACAATTTTAAACAGAGTGGCCTGGGAAGGCCTCATTGAAAGGGGAGTGTTTGAGGAAAACTCTGAGAATGAGGGAACTAGCCATGTAACTGTCTAGCAGTAGGTGGGAAGGCCCTGAGGCTTACAAGGTCCAGTGTGTTAAAAGTTGGTCAAGGAAGCCAGAGGGGCTGGATGGAGTTAAGTGGGGAGAATGTACTAGGGGGTTGAGGTCAGGGAGGTCTTACAGGCTGTTGCTCAGTTCTTTGACTTTCACAGTGAAAAAGATGGAAGTTCTTATGCAGAAAATAACATCTCATACAGATTTTTAAAGGATCACTCAGGCTGTATTTTGAGACTAGATTCTAGGTGAGGAACCAAGGAGGCTAGTTAAAAGCCCATTGCAGTCACCCAGGTGAGTGGAGATCATGGCATGGAATTGGAACACTGGAGGCTGTGAAAAATTATCTGATTCTGGATATATTTTCAACAGGAAAGAACTTCATGCTTTTGAACTTTTTCTTACAAAATTTTTCTTCTTTATTTTTTTAATTTAAATTTTATTTGTTTGGCTGCATTGGGTTTTAATTGTGGTGCACCAGCTCTCTCATTGTGGCACACAGGCTTAGTTGTTCCACAGCACGTGGGATCGTAGTTCCCCAACCAGGGATCAAAGCCCTGCCCCATGCACTGCAAGCTGGGTTCTTAACTTCTGGACCACCAGGGAAGTCCCCTTCTTATCTTTAAAAGTTTTATTTTCCTGCTAGTTCTTGATTTACCACTTTTATACACTGTCTTTACTTCCTTTTATGTTAGATGAGGATTTTGATCACATGCCTCAGACGTCCCCCTATTCTCAATTCAAAAGTAATTGAACTACTAAGTTATTTTCATTATTGGTTGGCTTTTTATACTTGTCTTTACATTACAGTCTACCATCTGTAGAGACTCTTGTCTAACTTATATTTGTATATTGTCATATGAGGTATTCTCTTAAGTCGTTTTTGCAGCAAAACTCCTTCCTAAGTCTTTCGCATTGCTGCAGTCTGCACTGGTTTCTGTTCAGGGACTGTCATTTGGGGACTTCATTTGATCACTTTTGAATTGGATTCACTGTTTCTTGGCTCCTGCTTTGTTATTCTCTATTTACTCTCTAGTTTTGGTGACATATGTTCTCAAATAACTTTGTAAGAAAAGATACATGAATACTGTTCCATGGTATATATACCACTGTACTAGTTAGCCATAAAAAAGAATGAAATCTTGCTATTTGCAACATGGGTGGACCTTGAGGTCATGATGCTACATGAAATAAGTCAAACAGAGACAGACACCAAGTGATCTCACTTATGTGTGGAATATAAGAAACAGAACAAACAAGAAAACCAAACTCAGATCCAGAAAAGATGTGGTCGCCAGGGGCAGCAGGAGGTGGAGGAGAAATGAAAGATGGTCAGAAGGTACAGTCTTCTAGTTATACATGAATAAGCCCTGGGGATATAATATACAGCATAGTGACTGCTGTTAGCAATACTGTATTGCATATTTGGAAGTTGCTAACAGAATAGATCTTAAAAGTCCTCATCACAAGAAAAAGAATTTGTAACTGTATGTGAGAACAAGATATTAACTAGATTTACCATGGTGATCATTTCACAATGTATACAAATAATTTAAGCATTCATTGTGTTGTACACCTAAAACTAACGTTATATGTGGATTACATCTCAACTTATATTTTAGTTAAAAAATTTTAAAGATACATGGAATTCAAGTTTTTAGTCCTTTCATTTCTGAAAATGACCTCATTTTGCTTGTATTGTTCATAGTTTAACTCAGTATAGAATTTTATCAATAGTTCTTTTGTGTCTGCATTTTTCTGTTCAGCAGTGTTTGTTTTTTGTTTCTGTGTTTAATTATATTTCCTTCGGTTCTAAAATTTTGTATTGGTGTCAGTCTCTATAATGTCATTTTGCTGAGAACTTGATGGGGTCTTTCAGAATAAAGACTTGGATCCTCTAGTTGAGGAAACTATTGTTGAAAATTTCCTCACCTCACTTTTCTGGTCCTCTTTCTAGAACTCTTCTGTTAGTTGTTGGATATTTGCTCTCTTGTTTTCTCTCGTTTTCTATTCTTATTTTATTATACTGGGGGGTTACTTTCAGATCTTTAATGTTCATCACCCCCTCTTCCCTTTTTTTAAACTTTGAATTGTCATTGTTGTTCTTAGGGATGCCTTTCTCATGTTTAGAAGATAGAGTCTCCTGTTAAAGGATACATTATCTTATCTGGGGGGTTTCCCCTATAAATACTAATTAGAACTTAACATTTATCTAGTTCAGATGATCCCTCTCAGGTCTTTCCCCCTCTGTTTACCTATACCTCTGTGTCTTCCTTTAGGCTTTCCTGGAAAACGTGGGGTTCTCTGGTTGCTCTCTGAGAAGGTGGCCTTTCTGTGTTCCCATCAGGCCCCACACAGGGACGTCTTCGTATGCTGACCATTTATCATCCAGCTCCTTGCACTTACCTAGGGTTTGTGTAGAAGTGGAAGTTGGCATCATACAAAAATGATCCCTGATGAACTGTACCAACAGCGTATATACAGGAGAGGCCCTTGGGGGCTACTTGTGTAGGCCTTGAATATTTTCTGAAGAATTGTGCCAGAAAAATAAAAAAAGGAGATAAATGTCAGTGTCTCTATATTCTGTTGTAAAAGTTTACCCCATTCCCCCTTACCCCAATACCTGAGTCATTCTTGGCTTTTAAATTGGTACATGGCCCCAAAGGTATCCTAATTTTTGGTAAATAAAAGAAGAAACCAAAAATTTTGACTTTTTTTTTTTTTTTTAAAGGGGTCAGCCACTGGTCTGGAAGCTAAGATCCCTCAAGCCTCATAGCATGACAAGCAGGCAGACAAACAAATTTTTAATAAATAGATAAAATTAACTAACTGGGCTTCCCAGGTGGCTCAGTTGTAAAGAATCTGCCTGCCAATGCAGGAGATGCAGGTTTGATTCCTGGGTCAGGAAGATTCCCCTGGAGAAGCAAATAGCAACCCACTCTTAATATTCTTGCTTGGAAAATTTCATGGACAGAGGTGCCCGGTAGGCTACAGTCCATTCGGTTGCAAAGAGTCAGACATGACTTAGCAACTAAACAATGACAAAGCTAAATGTGTTTACTTTGAAATTTTGGTTCCTGTTTTGGTTGAATTCATTTTAGGTGACTTTTTTCTGGTACCAGTTATACCCACGCACTGACTGACTATGAGGCGTTGTGCTACCATGTCTTGACTGTTGATTAGTGAGTGTCTTGCAGTAGCCTAAGCTCACTCGGGGCAGGGACCACAGCAGACCTGCTCACTGCTGTGCCACTTTTTTGTCTTAACACCATGCCAAGTGCACAACACACACTTGAAAATACTGAGTTGTCTGCCTCTCCTTTCTTCCCCACCTCCAAGTTGTAACCATTTTGCTCCCCTGTCACTTTGAATCTGTCTCTTTACCTCCACCTCTGCTGAAAACATCATTTGGTAAGCTAACATTACCTTACATGGACCCTTTTACTGATCAGCTCTGTTGCAGGCCATTTAGAATATAGGTTGTAGCTCCATTTATCTTTAGGCCCTTCGGTTATGATTTTATTCAGCAATGTCTTCCCCACTACGATGTAAAAAAGCTCCGTAAGGGCGGCTTCCATGCCTTTTTATTTCCTCACCATTTTACCTTTTGGGCATCGAAAGCATTCAGATAATGTTGTGGCCATGGCTGGTGCCCCCTAATGGTGACAAAAGAGATCCCTCTGTCATCCAGTTTGTACTGAAATGAAATAAACTGCAAAGCGCTGGATAGTTGTTAGAAGTTAAAGGAACAGACTTAACATTCTTTTCCTAAAATTTCCCGGTACGTGGCATGTTGTTTTGTGTTTGAAGAATATTGTCCAAAGGGTGATACAGTTCTGGTTGTGTTTAAGGTCCTTTTTGACTGATCTATTCACACATACATATTTCCTTTTTAGCATATGGCTTAGAAGAACAGAAGAATCTCACAAATTGTACCAGTGGAGCCTTTTTTGATCAGAAGGGTCCAGAATACACAGCATGTCAGTTTCCTCTTGCCTTACTTGAAGCATGCAGTGGTGTGGATGATCCCACGTTTGGCTACCAAGAAGGAAAGCCTTGTATTCTTGTGAAAATGAACAGAGTATGTACAAAATTTGTTGCTGCCGCTTTTTTCTAATATCCTATTAAGCTGACAACTGTTTATTCAGCGCTGTTTCATTTGGTGGTAGCTTATAAGGCTAGCCGTGATTTGTCCTTTTGAAAACCAGTACAGAAAAAAACGACAGTGGGTTCATAAGTTAGTCATAAATTAGGGAGTAACACAACTTCAGCTTTTCTCTTTTGGAGCTAGCTACGCACACACAGGTAAGTGTAGATCAGGGCTTCAGGCATCAGGTATTCTGGGGGTCATGGCCACAGCATGGTTGTGTTAATGTGCTGTGCTCATCTTCGCATCTGGGCAGTAATGTAATTTAAAATCCCATGGCAGATCTGTAAACTTTTGGCCTATTTAACTTTTTCTGAATAGCTTTATAGTATACGTCTATGTAATTAATAATAAAAATACAGATAAAATTGTATTAAAATGAGTGCAGCCAGCATTTTGCTATGTTGTCCAGAAGAGGTGCCTGAATTGTATAAGCACCAGCAAACCAAGAAGCTAATAATATTCTCTATGTCTAAGTAATAGTGTCTTGGGGTCATTGTGCAAAAGGAACATGTTTTCCTTGCATAATGAAGTGATTGCCTAATCCTGTGCCTTGCTACTGTCTAAATGTACTGCAGAGTTGTGTTCCAATCCAGGAAACCTGTTGAGGCCTGCATGGTCTCTTCTGAAGAGTGAAATCATTCCTGGTACATTTATTCAGAGAATAGGCAGGTTCCTGAACAGGTGGAGACCTCTCAAGTTCTTCAGTATACACATCACTGAAGTCAGCATCCCTAATAAAGCTGAAACTGGAATCTTCTGAAGCTGGCACTCCTAGATGAGGAGTTTCCCTTAGGGAGAGCCAGCTAGATGCTTAGGTGTCCAGACTGCCTTCCCTCCAGTCTATCCTTCCCTTTCCTCTGTGGACGATGACAGATCTCTGATTATCCCTTAGCACTCTAGAGATCATTCTGAAACATTGCCTGACACATGGTAGGAACTCAATAAATGTTTTAGCTAGACTTAAGAATTAAGGTTAAAGTGGAGGTGAAACCAACGGCAAGGTAGGTGGGCAGGGAAGTGGGAACAATGTGAACAGCTATTTGAAGGGGACCCCTACTTTCCCTAGAAATGGTAGGGAGCTCATACATACCACATACTGTTAATAAATAAAGTAGAAATGAGTTTTCATAGTCCACACAAGAAATGATCCTCATAGTTATACATAGTTGACTAAAGGGACTGATTGGTCCCATCTTTAAGATGGACTATCTGTGGAGAATTGATTCTAGAACTGCTGAGGACACCAAAATCTGGGACTGTGCAAGTTCCTTTTATAAAGTGGTGTAGCGTTTGTGTATAACCTGTGCACATCCTCCTGTGTACTTAAAAGCATCTCTCGATTACTTACACTTAATCCAGTGTAGATGCTGTGTAAAATAGTTGTCAACACACAGGAAATTGAGTGTTGCTTTTTGGAACTTTCTGGAATTTTTTTGCTCAAATGTTTTTAGTGTGTGATTGATTGAATCCACAGGTGTGGAACCCATGGATAGGAAGGGCAAACTGTAATGTGAAATAGGTGATCCAGCTTTTAAGATGGATTGAATTTATTCTCTTTAACAGGAATGCCTTTTGTAATTGCTGCCTCCTAGGAGTTTCCTCACAAAACCTAGATTAATGGAATACTTGTTCCCAATAGAAAACCAAGAGAAGAAGCTCTGATACCTTCTCCCATAGCGCCAAACTTCCAAGTTTATTTTCTTTGCCAGTATGTCCACTGAATGAGGAGGGTCTGAGACTATAGTTGCTGATAGAGGCAGAAGTTGGCAGGCTTGACAGGAAGATATCATCAGGCAAATGGGAATCAGTACTGAGATGCTGCATAGGAGTGTGGCAGGGCATCAAATCCCACTATAGTTTGTTCCAGAGTCATTGCAAGGGCACAGATAGTTAATGCTCTTGAAATTATTATTTAGGCTGTGACACTACTTTTCTTTGGGGGAGAGTACTTATATTTTAAGGCATTCACATTAAAATGCATATAAATTATAAACTAAAATGCATATAAATTCAAAATGTCAAAAATCCTCACAAAATACATGGATAAATATCATTCACACAGTTAGTTATATCAACTACATACATGAAAGTAGCTTCATTACATAGAGCTGAATGGTCCCATCTTTAAAATGTGATTCATTCAATGTATGTGTTTTATAGGTCTGAAATACAGTAGGGTTCTGTAGAAGCCTTATGGAAACATGGTCAGGTGGTGACCTAACATATTTTCATGAAGAACAGTTACTTCTTCTTTTTTTCTTTTTTATTTATTTTTATTAGTTGGAGCCTAATTACTTTACAATATTGTAGTGGTTTTTGCCATACATTGACATGAATCAGCCATGGATTTACATGTGTTCCCCATCCTGATCCCCCCCTTCCGCCTCCCTCCCCAGAACAGTTACTTCTTATATTATGCCTTTGCAGTGCTTATTTGCGTTAATGATGTCTTTATATAAATAATGAAATATAAAGATTTCTATTATTTTAGGGAGAGCAAAGTACAATACTGTGTTTTGGTCAATTTTTTGATAACTGACTTAATTTTCTAAATTGCCCCAGTACTATAATGAGATAGATAATTGGTAAGATTATTATATTGAAAAGTCTATTCTATTCAAAAGGCAGGTTTTAAGGCAGTGGCTTCCCTTATAGCTCAGTTGGTAAAGAATCTGCCTGCAATGCAGGAGACCTGGGTTCAAGTCCTGGGTTGGGAAGATCCCCTGGAGAAGGAAATGGCACCTCACTCTAGTATTCTTGCCTGGAGAATCCCATGGACAGAGGAGCCTGGCAGGCTACAGTCCATGGGGTTGCAAGAGTCGGACATGAGCTGTCAACTAAAGAGAGAGAATGTTCATCTCAACCCTCCTATCCCTTGTCCTCAGCAACAGAGGAGGAGGTTCTGTTGTACACTGTTGTGATGTTTCAATTAATCAATGTTTCTTTACCTTAGATAATTGGATTAAAGCCTCAAGGACAACCAAGGATAGACTGTAATGCAAAGGTTAGTATTCAGAAAATAACCAAATTTCTGTTGAAGTTCTAGTGTATCTTAAAAATACTTTAAAAGTCTAATGAATTTAGTCATTTTTTTCCCTTCCCTGTCATATTTTAAAGTCGATTGTAGTGCCATTCTTAGAATAAACTCCTCCAACCTTCTGTTTGCTAATGATAATGCGAAAAGACTTATTTTCTGTGTGCACTTGATATCACACTCTTTCCCTTTATATTTACATGTACCATATTTCATTGATTTTAAGATTCAATTTCTTTTTTCTACCTGAATAACACTGAAATTGGGGCTGGCCTTATAATTGATAGAGTCTTAATAGTGTATAAAATTTTTTCTCTTAATAGTACATAAATTGGTGTACATCAGTGGCATCTGAGATTTAATGAATCATGATATCTTTTCCTTAAGGTAGAGGCATTATTTTGCTCTCTTATCCCTACTTTATTTTTTCCAGAGTGCTGTGCTATTTTCATTTCATAATTTCTTTTGTTTTCTCTCCATGCTGCAAAGTGCAACTAAGACAAATATGTAAATGATGGGTAAGAGTTCTCAGGAGAAACTGTTAAGTTCTAAATTTAATTTTGTTACTGTGTAAAATACTAGCATTCCACCTCCAGTTAATAATGACAGAAATGTTACATTGAAATCGCTTCTGAAGTTGTTTGCCAAAGAAAACTGTAATCCTATTTAATCATGAGTGAATTTCTTGTTTGGGCAGAAACTTGCTTGTGGTTCTCAAATCTGTTCATGCCTCAGAACCACTTGGAAGATCTTTTGGGCCCCAGTTCTGCAGGTTGTAACTCAGTAGGTCTGGGGTGAGACCCCAGAGTTTGCATTTCTAACTAAGTTTCCAGCTATTGGTGATGCTGCTGGCCTAGGACCCATACTTTGAGAACTCCTGCTTTAGAGTATCCTTATTGATGTATTTTGAGTATGTATTCATTGTTGAGAATAGTATAAAAAGCCAGGAATTTTTGTGCTTTCTCATCTGGGTTGAAGTACGCATGTGCATACTTCACATGTATGCATAGGTATGTCCATAGGCAACTCACTGGATCTCCTTATGCTGTAGTCAGCTCAGTAGGAAACTTGGACAAAAAAATCAGAACCTCACTTAAAACCAGATTCTGCATCTGAGCTTGGTTTTTCTTGATATACAGATCCTTCTAAAAGTACAGTGAGCCTCTACTCTGCTGTTGTCTCTTAAGATGGAAGAAAACGTTTCAGCTACCTGACAGATTTAGGAAATGTATAACTCTTTGATTGCCTTTGCTTGCAAGTCTTGCCAAGAGAAGGTTCCCGAGGCCGGGTGTGAGCCCTCAGCCAGGTGGAAGTGCCGATTTTATGACAGTGTTGTGTTTTCAGGGGCGTTTACCTCTGAAAGTGAGCAGACCGTGTAGATACACTTGAGCCAGTGAGTCTATGGAGCCAGCACCACCATGAAAGGAGAATGAACACACACACACACGCAGGCCAGAAGGGCAAAAGCTTTCCACTCCTTTCCCAAGGTTTCATTTCTGTAAGCCTGTGGCCAGTATAAACAACTCTCTGTAACTCTTCCCTTAGGGTTATAAATGGGTTTTTCTCCTTGTTTATCTGTTATGTTTCTTTTGCTTCTAGAATAGATGGGAGAAATGTTAATGAAAAATTTTGGTCTGATGACTCAGGTTTCAGTTGCTGTCCCTTTTGCTTTGAAGAGTTGTGTGGAAAGTATATAAAACAATCAAAATAGAGGTTTTGTTTGTTGTGGAATATTTTTGTTTTTAGAAAAAAATCACAAAATTGGAAGAAATGCTTATAAAATCTTGCATTACTCATAGGCTGGTTACAAAGGAGTAACCAGGTGGCATACATAAATTTTATAGGTGTGGCTATGTGAACAGATGGAAGCATTTATTGCATATGATCATATTGCTGTTTTCCATTAGATTGTCTATATTAAGTGTTCTTGGTGTAAATTCTTCAGTTGAATTACTTTTTATGTAATATATTTCTTTTGTCTTATATTCTTAACTTTGATCTGCTTTAATTGCTTTTATACAAGTTAAGAGTTCTGGAAACACTAAAACATGGATGATAGTACATGCTCTTATAAGTGGCCTTTAATTTTAAAGAATGGTTCCTGCAAAAGATGTAATATTCATATTTATGTCATTAGTTTTTTTTATTCCCTTACAAAAATGAATTGTATTCGTTAAAGAAAATTTAGAAAAATACAGAAGGGAAAATTTTGGTAAATTTTTGCCCAGAGATGACCACTGCTTAGAACATTTGGTGTGTGTTCTTCAAATGATTTCCAAGTGATGATGATATAGAATAAACAGAATGCATTCATTTTAAATATTTATTTTGTTTTCAGTGGGATTTAGTGACTGCTAGTAGAAAACCATGACATGCAGCTTTACCCTAAAGTTTATTATTGTTCAGATATACCTTTTATTGTTTCTTAATTTCTGAATGTTTATTTTCACTGAAGATACAAAATACAAGTTTAAAAGTCTGCCAGCTTGATGGTTTTGGTACAAACCTGGAGCAGTTCATTGAGCATGTGGCCATAACTCTGAGCTTCAGTTCCCCTCTCTGTAATTGATTGCACACATGAAAGGGTTGTTAGGCCTAAACAAGGTAAATATAAACTGAGTGTTGCATCTGGCTGAACATACACACTGAAGTGATCAATAAACTGTAACCCAAGGAAAACCTTTTACATTTTGGGGAACATCTCTGTGTTTCTAGTAATTAAGCTCATATACTAAGGTTAACCAAAAGTAAGGTACAGAAACACACTAAAGTGACTTTTTTTCTCCTGTGTAAAATATTATTTTAGATTTAACGTTTTTTAAATTAAGGAGTACAGCATAAGGTGGTATTTAAATAGTGGTTGAAAAAAGGCTTCTATACTTAGCCTTGTTACTGCCTGTTCTTTTCACAATTTTTGGTCTGGATCATTAGAACTTGCCCCCCTTTTGGAGTGTCATCGCTTTAGGCTTTGCTATCTTGTCTATATTGCTTATTCATGTGTTTCTCTCACCCCCTACACATGTGCTACTTCACAGTGGTTCAGTGAAGTAAGCAGAGAGTAGGAGTTCTCTTAAGAGGAGATTCTTAGTTTTGCTATAGTGTTTCATGTTTTCTTTCTAAAGTAGAAATTAGTTTATTCAAATCTACAATTCAAACATTTAGTATTGTTTTATATTACTGCCTTGTGATCTTGCCACTGATTTTAATCATTTGGTGTCTTTGTCATCTACTCAGTATGTGTAAAGATACAGTCATTAATACTGGACCTATTTAGAATGTGTTACATGAGAATTTTTGTGAATTGGTTATTTTTCAAGAAGAATACTAGGTTTGTGTTTTTATTGTGTATAAAAGTTTTTTTGAGGTATGGTTGATTTATAATATTACATAAGTTTTGGGTATACAACAGAATGATTCAAAATTGTTAAATATTATACTTCATTTATAGTTATTGTAAAATATTGATTCTATGTGCTGTACAATGAATCTTTAAACACATGGAATAGCAGCAGTCATATAACACCTTTAATTGACCTACATGTGCTCATAAAATAATTTAAGGAAAATGTGATATTCAAATTGCATAAGAAGAGTATTAGCTCCGAGTACTTTAAATTTTCCCTTCAGTTTTTTTTATCAGCTGCATGATCCGTTCCACCTCTGACTACAGTTATCATAGTTGTTTTGGACCTGCTGCCTCCCAGGCCTGAATGCTACATTCTGGGTTGTGGCAGCTATTGCTTCCCAATCTGGAAGTGCACAGTATTTTACTCATTTTAGAATTCATTCGTCCCAGACCTACTGGTGCACTCCTGCTGTCAGTGGCTAGAGAATAGGCATTTGGTAGTTGGAACTCAGATAAGATTTTACAGACAGTGCATGAGTAGATCCAGCTATAAGTTAAAGGGACTGTCATGGAAATAAATCAGGAAATCAGGATAATTCATGTCAGGTGGTTTAAATCAACATGACTAAGTCTCTTTCCAGAAAATCCTCTTTAGCAAATGCAGTTGAAACAGCATTGTAGTTTCTCCATACTGTTCATGATTGATATTGCTTTAATAAAAACATACTTTTAAAAACTATTTTTTGTGACCTAACAAGAGTTTCTTTTGTTTTCAACTTTAGAGTGAAAGCACAGCATTTCTAGCAACTTACCCTGCCAATGGAACGATAGATTTAAAATATTTTCCATATTATGGGAAAAAACTGCATGTGAGTATTTAGAAATTCTTAAGTGGTTGAGACTCTTGGGGAACTGGCACATTTGTATTAAAATGCCAGTTGTCTGGGTCAGGTAGACATATGCCTTGTGTAATGAGTGCATCATCTATTCTGGTTTTTAAATACATTGGTGATGGCAAATGGAGACTCCAGGTCTACAAGTGGAGCACAAGACCGAAGCGGATAAGTTAAAGGATGATTATTTTCAAAATAGCATTTTCTCTTTCATGTCATAGAGTGTCCGTATTTAAAGAAGATAGAAAAGTGGTTAAGTCATTACCCAGAGATGGCTACTTTTGTAGTGGAATTTCTTCCACATTTTTTCTGTAAGTGTATTTATATATGTGTGTATTTTATATATATATATATTTAGCATTTTATATACATAGTAGTAAACTTTTAGTTTTGTTTTGAAATAATTCTAAACTTAAGTGGCTAGCGCAGTACAGAGGATTCCTAGTAACCTTTTGCCCAGCTTGCCTGTGTTGATGTTTCACATCATTTGTCTTTATCAGTCTCCATATATATTTTTCCCATGAACCCTTTGTCATTAAGTTATGAACATGGTGCTTCTTTACACTAAATGCTCTTTACATTGAATTTCCTAAAAGTAAGGACATTATCATAATAACCATCATGTACTTAACAGGAAATTAGCATTAAACTGTATTAGTATCTGATCTACAGACAATGTTGAAATGTCACCAGTTGTTCCAGTAATGTTCTTTATTGCACAGGAAAGTGTTTTCCTGGTCCAGGTTGTTACATTCTTACATCTTTAGTTGCCTGTAACCTGCAGCAGTTCCTCAGCCTGTCTGCTTCATGCCCTTTAACTCTTCAAAAATGAGTGCAGGCCTTTTGGGGCTTACTTTGTGGCTTATGTTCCTCAGTTTGAGTTTATCTGATGTTTTTCATGGTTAAATGTAGGTTGTGCATTTTTGGCATGAATGCCTCAGAAGAAATGGTACGTCCTTTTCAGAATGGCATCAGAATGGCATGTCAGGAGGGACGTCGTATTGAGTCCCATTGATGGTGGTGTTAACCTTGAACACTTGGTTAAGGTGGTGTCAGCCAAATTGCTCTAATGTGAAGTTATACTTTTTTTCCTTTGTAATCAAGAAGTATTATGTGGGGTGAATACTTGGAGAGTCTGTAAAACTATTGCTCCCATGATTTTAACATTTATTGATTTGTTCCTGAATCAGTTACTAATAGAATTGTTCTCAAATGTTTTTTTCTAATTTCATCTTTCCTTTTCCCATTTACTAGTTGGCATTCCACTCTAAGAAAGTGCATTTTCTTCTCCACTATTTATTTATATCAATATAGTCTCATAGATTCTTATATAATTTAGGTGTTATATGTTATAATCATTTATTTTGGTGCTAAAACTCTCCCGCATTTGGCTGGTGGAGACTGACTGTAGCCTCTGTGTCCTTGAGGCGTATTCCCTAGATTCCTACAGCACTAACTTACTTTCTGGCACCACAAGGGCGCATCTTGTATTTTCCCTGCCTCAGACCTGGAATTAGCCCCTAGTTCCTTCACTAAAGTGAAGGCTTGTATTTAGTAAGCACAGTGATGACAAAACAGTTATGAGTATATTTGCACCAAGTTAAACAGCAACCATAAGGATATTAGAAACCTAAGTAACATCAGTGAGGTAATCTTCCACATGTTTATTAAACATATTAATAGATAAATACATGTTCTTCTCAAACACCTGTAACTGTCACAAAAATTTATCATAAAAAAAATGCATCTTCAAGTATTCAGTTAAGGAAAAAAAGGTAGAGGATAAAAAAATACATCTAATAGATTAAAATCTTGTTTGTTTGTTTTTTTTTAATTTTTAAAGAATAGGCAAGCTCCTAAAAAGTATAGTTAAAGTTACTGGAGAAGTTGAATTAATGTATTTTCCTTTATTTGCCAGGGGAGCTACCTGCAGCCACTAGTTGCCGTCCAGCTCATCTTTGGTAGTGATGGTGACGTAAAAGAAGTAATGGTTGAGTGCAAGATTGATGGATCACCCAACCTAAAAACCCAGAATGACCGTGACAAGTTTTTAGGACGAGTTGCATTCAAGATCACCATGCATGCATAGTAGGAGTTAGGATGTCTCCACAGAGTAAATGTTGTGTTGTCTGTCTTCATTTTGTATCAGCGGGACCTGCCATTCCAGAATTATGAGACCGCCTTGGAGAAAGGTGGAGTGGTACATGACACTGGGATAACATAATGTGCTTCCAGATAATAGTGGTCCATGTCCTTCGAAGTAACTGCCTGTTGCCTCTGCTGCCTTTTGAACCCTGTACAGTCACCAGATAGGGACTGTGAACACCTGATTCTGAACATGTAGGTTGGGGGTCTTGTCCAATTTTTATGTGGTTTAATTGCCAAGTGTCTAAAGCTTAATGTGCTGTGCTATGTAAATATTTTATAGATTTAACACTGGTTAACTGTCATATTTTGATGCCAGCAAAGTTTTAGGGTATAAAATGGTACCTGACCAACATCAAATGACTTTATAGCTGCAAGAAATTCAGTGCGTGGAAAAGTTCTGTATGTGAGGAGGAAAAAGGAAAATAAAAGTGGATTTGAAAGGTTGGCTTGGATGTTTTGTAAAATTATTTTTTACATGCTGAATTAGTTTGTGGATCTTTTTGACTCAGAGCACAATCTTTTTGCTGTAAAACATGTAAAAACAAACAGAAAGATAGTGATGGGATTATTTTTAACACTGATACTAAATCTTTTCAAGTAGTTAGATTGAAGTATTTTAGACCATAGATAAAAATAGCATTTTTAGGTTGGCCATTAGGAATACACACCTAAATTTTATGAAATTAAATTCATAAGATTTAAATTGTGCAAGAGTTTGTGGGATCTTAAGACTGCTTTTATTTAGCTGACTGTGGAGTGGACTCTAATAAAAAATATAAATTGTGAAATATAAAAAACTTAGAACTTATTCAGAGCTTCAAACCAAACACTAGTTTAACTTCAGCATTGTTTTAATAGTGTCATGAAACACTTTCTCCTTCAATCTGAGATGTTTGGTATGATTCTTTGTCATAATGTGAGCTCCTTTCTCCTCACCTGAAAAAAGGTGTGCTTACCATAGGATCTGTGGTTCTTTAAAAAGCACCCCCCCCCTTTTTTAATTGTTATTTTTCTCCTTAAAAACCAAAGCTAGTATTTTTGAGGCTTTGTTTGTGTTAGTACAAGCCAGGAAGAGCAGACACTCGCCCAGCGGGCTCAGGGATGGATATCTGGAGAAAACCTGAGTGCTCTGGGTGGTCTTGACTGACCAGGTGGGCCCTGATGGCCCCAGAGCAGCCTACACACCTCGGTGATTATCACTCAGCCCCGTTGGGAGGGCTGCTTATTGCTCTGCCACTAAGATCTTAGTGATTACAGATTTTCATTGTAGAAGCCTCCTTTGCAACTGAAGAAAATGATCCTTGGAATTTGTTTTTTTAACTTTTTAAACATTTTAAGAAATACTTATTTTTGGCCTGGCTGGGTCTTCTTCATTGCTGCGCAGCTTTGCTCTAGTTGCAGAGAGTGGGGCTACTCTCTAATTGTGTTGTGCAGGCTTCTCACTGTGGTGGCTTCTCGTTGCAGAGCATGGGCTCTAGGCTCATGGGCACAGTAGTTGTGGCTCACAGGACTAGTTATTCTGTGGCATGTGGGATCTTCCTGAACCAGGGGTCAAACTCCTGTCCCCTGCACTGGCAGGCAGATTCTTAGCCATTGGACCACCGGGGAAGTCCCTGGAGTTTATAAGTCGAAGCTTTACTTTGATTTTTCTTTCAACCCTATCGCTTAAGAGTATAAAACAGGAGGGGGTGGGGGCAGCAGTGGTGAATGGCAGGCTGCAACTAGGATATTATTTTAGTCGGCTAAGTGTGAACAGGGCCTTAGCAGCTATCACTTAAATTTGTATTTTTGTATCTTTCAAAGTGTAGGGTGGGTATAAATTTTGTTTTAAGGAGTTTAGGTAAAAGCAAAGTACTTCTCAGAACATATGATAATACTTGAGATATCCAAAGTAGGTTGTGTGGGTTTCAGAGAGAAAGGGGCATACACAGGAGTCACATCTGTGCCTCCTTGGTTCAGGAGGTTGGCCATGGCTCAGACCAGCTGTCTGTGACCTTAGTTGACCTACCAACTTTTCCTAGCTCTGTTTTGTGTTGAAATTAGAGATGTTTAACAGCTTCTCCTGGAGAAGGCAATGGCACCCCACTCCAGTACTCTTGCCTGGAAAATCCCATGGACGGAGGAGCCTGGTGGGCTGCAGTCCATGGGGTTGCGAAGAGTCGGACACAACTGAGTGACTCCACTTTAACTTTTCACTTTTATGCATTGGAGAAGGAAATGACAACCCACTCCCTTGTTCTTGCCTGGAGAATCCCAAGGATGGGGGAACCTGGTGGGCTGCCGTCTATGGGGTCACACAGAGTCGGACACGACTGAAGTGACTTAGCAGCAGCAACAGCTTCTTCACAAACCTGCTGTGGGCCAGGTAGTTTCCAGACTGAGGATAAAGAAATGAAGCACTGTGGTCTCTTGAAGATCTTAAACTGGGAGGAAGCAGGCTCTGAGATGATGGCAGGTATGTGCAATGGAGTTGGGGAGGCCTAGGTCTTTCACAGGTACCCCAAGACAGTCAGTGAGGGGAGGGGCTGGGTCTGTCTGGAATGGACACAGGCTGACCAGGAGTGAATGGAGCCCTGGACGTGTGTTGAGTCTGCATTTTTGCTCCATTTCAGGTTTTTCTTAGAACTTCACTTGTATCTTATTAACATGCAGATTCTGATTCCCTAGGAGACACTACACTGAGCAACCTCCTCAATGATGCTTATTCACAGACCACAGTTTGACTAGCAGGGGACAAAGAACTAAAGACAGCTTTGCATCCTCAGCGGCTGAGTCTGGCACTAGGTTCGTTACTGGATGGAGAAGATTAAACTGTCAGTTGACATTAACTTGTACTTAAAAATTCAACAGGTATGTTATTAATACATTTCTAGCTGAAAGAAAATTATGGGTTAAGTTTCTAAATTTCCTTAGATATCCAAACTTGGGAATTTTGTGTTTTTTTTTTTTTTTTAAATACTGCTGCTGCTGAGTTGCTTCAGTCATGTCCGACTCTGCAACCCCATAGATGGCAGCCCACCAGGCTTCTCCATCCCTGGGATTCTCCAGGCAAGAATACTGGAGTGGGTTGCCATTTCCTTCCCCAGGGGATCTTCCCAACCTCGGAATCAAACCCACATCTCCTGTTTCTCCTGCATTGGCAGGCAGGTTCTTCACCACAGTGCCACCTGGAAGCCCATACTGTATCATAGTGTCTCAGTACATAGTCTCTTTAGTTGGGTTTTCTGTACTTTCCCTACCCCCTATATGCATAGTTAGTCCTATAACTTAAGCACTGTTCTCCTTTCTTAGGGGTTACTTTGCCCCCATGTGCAGCAGTGAGATAAGAAAGGTTGGTCTGCCCTCTTCATGAAACCCAACAGGACTGCCATGTCACTAAAGGTACAGCCCTGTAAGGAGGACTTCCCAGATTCTAGATAGAATCTGATGGAAGAGAGAAATTCATGTAGAATCCATGATCCTTCATTGTGGAAGGAGGGGTAGGGGGAATTGGACTTAAATCTTGATTTGCATTTGATTGCTTGGAAGTCTTTGGTGTGGTCCTTACTCTTCTGAACTCCAGTTCTCATTTTAACTGTAAAATGAAGCTATTGCCACCCTTCAGGGCTGTGAAGATTAAATGGGGAAATAGACCACACCAACATGTAGTGTTATTGTTCAGTCTCTCAGTGGTGTACGATTCTTTGCAAGCCTAGGGATGGTAGCCCATCAGGCTCCTCTGTCCTTGGAATTTTTCAAGCAAGAATACTGGAATGGGTTGCCATTTCCTCCTCCAGGGGATCTTCCCCACCCAGGGATCAAACCTGTGTCTCCTGCATTGCAGGTGGATTCTTTACCACTGAGCCACCAGAGAAGCCCACCAACATGTAGTAATTGTTGACAGATGTTTGTTTCTAAGGACTTCCCCCTCCTTTTGAGGTTACCGGGTTTTCAGTAACTTGGGATAGTGTAACTACTGTGTTGCTGCTGCGTTGAAGGATTGTTATTACTGAGAAGGGCATGGTAAAGAAGGAGTTGAAAGTCTTTTTTGGCTGCCTATGATCCTGTGCAGTAGATTTGTATGGAGAGAGGGGGACACAAGTGAATTAGAAACTGTCAGTCCACGTGAATTTGAATTTCAAAGGGTTATTGCTTTAATAAAGTTATCAAGTTGTCATTTAAGCTGAATAGAATTTGCTATGTTGATATCAGAGTTTTCTAGCCCCCTTGATCCCACCCTGAAGGAGCTGTGTTTCGAACAGTGGGTGAGCAGTGGGTCTTCATGTGCACCTCTCTGAGATCGGCCGGAGGGTGACTCCCTCTAGGGAGGGAGAATCTGTTCCCGGAGGGCTTCCTTCACCCTGGAAGTGACACGAGGAGATCAGGGTCTGTCTTCCTGAGCAAACCGGTTTCCTCCCAGTGGCTTCTTTTCAAATTAAGTCCCTATAGAACTTCTCAAGAGTGATTTTGGGATTTGTTTTCAGAAACATAGAGCAGTCTTTGACGCCTGTCACAAGCGGCAGGATTTCTCTGTTGAGGACGAGCTTACTTTTTTTTTTTTCATTTAATTTTTATTAGTTGGAGGCTAATTACTTTACAATATTGTAGTGGTTTTTGTCATACATTGACATGAATCAGCCATGGATTTACATGTATTCCCCATCCCGATCCCCCCTCCCACCTCCCTCTCCACCCGATTCCTCTGGGTCTTCCCAGTGCACCAGGCAGAAACAGAATTCTCTAGGGAGTCAAGACCTGTAGGAGCTGACATCTAAGAGTGAAAACCAAAGCAGAGCATGTCTCCTAACCCACTCTTCTAAGATTATTTGTGTGGTCTTCGGATAACTCAGAAGAGCCTTGATAGAATAAATCGGGTCTGACTGGTGACCAAGTGGCTAGTGAGAGACTATCATTAGTTGTGGATTTGCTTGAAGACAGGCCCACTACCCACTCAGATATGAA